CAAACAGACAGAAATAGTCTTACAAAACAGAGTAATATTTATGGCACAAATATTGGGATTACTAGAATGTAAATGTCAAATTGGAGAAAGTTTACACTAAATATTGTCATGAGAAGAAATGATGTCCTGTTCAGGAAGTAATCTTTCTTTTGAGTCAGATCTTCTCAATTAATCATTTTATCCAGTTCACACAACCGCTCTGAGATTTGCTCACAAATCAGACTGATTTGTTTCCCTACTGACTTTTTTGTCTGGAGCGCATGCTTTCTATCCCAAGAGCCCATCTGAATGATATTTTGGTCCCTTGAATGGCTCTTAAATGTTTATGGAACCCCCCCCCCCATTTTATTGTCCATCAGATAAGTCCATAAATAAGTCCATAAATCACTACAAAATAATATTATACTTCTCCTCAACAAGTCAAAAGATTTGAGTATCGTATCATATCTGTGCGTGAATAGTTGTGTTTAATTCTCAGAGTTAATGGTTTGTTCAAATCCCTAATAGTAACTATAAGCAGCAGTAATAGTCACACTAATGGACTGTAATACATTGTACTGTATGTACTTTTTAAAGAGACTTCAGGGGTCTCAAAAACGTTTTTCTCACAGCGCCAACTGACTCTCTTCAGACAAATGGACAACATTCCTCCCATACCACCTCCCCTCTGTAATGTCGAATAAACACTAAGAATCCAGCATTTGTGGGCTGCACGACGCTGTAACTCTGTTTTTAGTCAAATTTTCCAGAGTCACCCAGAGTCTTGCTACGACAAGTTAGATCATCAAAGGTATGCTGTTGAACAACTTGACTGTTTTAAATCTTCTGTCGTCATCACGACACAAACGCTCCTGATTGAGAACAAACAATCCAGCAGCTGTTTGGGAGATTATGTCTTTCCTCTCACAAGAGTAGAGTAACGGTTGTGTTGTGTCAGATCACTGTTCAGTCTCTCTTTCATGAAAATGACTTTGACATCACGAGGCAGCGAGGCGAAGCGGCAGCTGCTCCTCTAAAAGAAATGCCACTGTCAGATTGCCGGTTTAGCTCTCTGCGGGCTCCCAGTCTGTTTGTCTCTGTATCGCCAGCCTCTCGTTTCAGTCTGGCTTCCCGTGCACATGCTAAGCCGATGAGCGATGTATGTAGAGGTTGTAGATTAATGACTGTGCAGGATGTATAGACATACTGCACAGGGCCTTTGTGTAGTCGAGGTGGCTTGATGGCATTTTTATTATTGTATACACTACCATTAAAAATTGCTTTTGTAAGATAGTAAAAGTTTTATTCATCAAGGATGCATTAAATTGATCAGAAGAGACAGTAAAGACATCTATAATATAAAAGATTTCTATTTCAAATAGATGTTGTTCTTTTGAACTTCATAGAATCCTGTTTAAAGAGGGTTAGTACACCCCCAAAACAAAATCAAGACTTTGTAAAAGAGCATAATAGCACCCCTTTAGTATTTTTTAAACCTGCTTAATATTTTTGTTTCCACACAAAAAAATTGTTTTCAACATTGATGATATTAAGAAATATTTCTGAAGGATCATGTAGCACTGAAGACTGGAGTAATGTATGCTGAAAATTCAGCTTTAACATCACAGGAATAAAATAGATGTTAAAATATATTAAAATAGAAAACAGTTATTTTAATTGTAAAAAAATATATATATTTTTCCCTTTTAAATACAAAGAAGAAACTATTAAGGATGTGCTTTTTGTACTATGCCATGCAATTACATTAAATTGGAAATTAGGCTTTCAAGCTTCAAAATGGCACCATGAAAGTGGTCCACATGAATTGTGTGCTTTATTTCAAACATTTTGAAGTTATTTGATAGCGGAACAGATTAAATTGAAGTCCTTACTTGCTTAAAATTTTCCTCTTCAGTGAGCTTTATTTGTTGTTACCAGATCATTAAGTGAAAAAAAATGAGTGTGTTGTGAGCAATTAATTAGTATTGTTGTTAATTAAAAATAAAAGAGCTGTAAAAATAGTTTTCCATTAATTGAAAATAAAAATGAAAAGCAAAGCTGACAAGAAGAAAAATACTTAAACTTTAAAAAACCCTTTGAAGTAAAAAATATAAAAAAAATTATAAAATGGCAAAAGCACATAAAAATTATTAAAACTTAAATATAGGAATGAGAACTAATTCAAAATACTAATAAATATTATATAAGTAATTCTAAAAAACATTGGTTATGTAAACTGGATAATCTGATTTATAGAAAAAATCTCTAAATGTTTTTAACGAATCTGACATAATTTCTTCTCATGAAGGCAGACAAAGCAAATACTTCAGAGGACCTGAAAAGTGGCACTTTTATGATAATTGTATAGTTTGCGAAGCTTTAAAGCTCTACTCTCCATGCCCATACTGCAGTAGTATTCGAAGTAGGTTGTTATTGTGCTATTTTTGTCTATATTTGTAGACAGATGCATAGAAACATTGTACTCACATTACACTTAATGTGTAGGAAGAGCTTCTGTGTCTTCTCTGTTTCAGATTAGTTTAGATGGTTCAGATAGGTAGTTTAGATGTCAACACAAGAACATAGGAAATGGCCTTATACTGAGCAGATGAAAGACGAGGCCTAGACTGCAAATGAAAGATTTGACTTTATGCTGCAAATTGGGTCTTCCTCTTTCATTTGTGCTCTGTGATTCATAACCATTTTGAAGTAAGTAAAGGTATATGGCTGTTATTATCAGGAACCCTTCTGGAAATGTAGTTTATATTAAAAGAGGGGGTGTTTTAATGACAGTTTTATTAAAATCCTCATCCTCTACCTTGTTAGAGGTAGAAGATGTTACAAGATGATAAAATTCTCAAAATAAGATTTCAGCGTATGCTGCACTGTTTAGCACTGGCACTGAATCTAAAAACCCTGCACAACCTATGATGACAACAACTGGCTGCATGCAAAACACAAACATACAGCGCAAACAGTGTCTGATTCATGAATGAATGATGCTTTTAATGAATCATTTAAAAGACTAACAAGATTTGAATGAGTCAAATTAATCACTGTTTACTTAAGATGTCAGGCCGGTTGTTGAATGACATCTGATTATTTGATTTAAATGGTACTTTAAAAATATTAAAATATTTAAATATTACACTATGTATGTACTTGAGGGGAAAATAAATATTGGTTTCTGTATTTATTTATAAATTTTTCCCTTCTGGTGCATATTTTTCAGTGAGTAAGTGAAGTGTATTTTTATTAAAAATATTGACTTCTGGTTTTTGGGCTTTTTGTTTTTGCATGTCGACATTGGTACAGTAATGACGCTTATAATCATAAAAAGAGGATTGTTATGGTAAATTTGGTTTATTGTGTGTTGGAGGGCAAATTTAATTCAAATATTAAATCTATTGTTCTGTAGTCAGTTGCTATTGTTTATCAGAGCTTCTGATTAATAATAGGTTATAGATGCATGACCATCCAATCCGATTATGTAATTTTCTGCCGCAGGTGGAGTGTTACGGGCCAGTGGATCAGCTGGTGGGCGTGGCTAAGCAGCACAAAGGGGTGGAGCTCCAGTCGTCTTTGCAGTCCCAGAATGGAGATGTTGAGAGGCATGAGAACAAATCGTGCGAAGGCCGCCACCCCACGCTGGACAAGAATGCTGTGGAAAATGGGCTCCCACGCCAATCAGGCTGTCGGGCCGAGTCGGCCTCTGATTCAAGGCTGAGCCCATCCCAGGACTCCGAGAAGTACGAAGAGGAGACACTGCCAACTCTGCCTCGCAAGAAACGAGGGAGACGGAAACTGGAGCGGCCGACTAAATGTGAGTTATGCTCAACCTTCCTTAGCATCATGTTTCACAGCTGTCTGCTCACTTAGCCACTCGTGGGCCCGAGGCCAAGAACGTGTCATCATGATGGTAAAAAAAATGCAGTATTTAGTCACTAAACAAGTGGGATTGTAAAACGGTTTTGGAGGCTTTGCTGGTACTATTGACTTGAAGGACAAATAATTATTGTTAAATGAGTACATTAATATGTAAATCGGTAATTACGTTCCCAAAAAAAATCGAATTTGCAGACAAAATACACTAGCCTCCCACACCGTGTACAGAGCGATTTGGCAAGATTCTCTCTCCAGCAGCGTTTCATACAGGATTTTGTTTTCCCAATGGGGGCACCAACCACCCCTGCCACATATCCATATTTGTTTGGGTTAAGTTTCACTATGTATACAACATTAAGCTTTATTTTTATTTTATTTTATTTTATTTTATTATTTTATTTTATTTTATTGAAACATAAGCAGTACAGAACTTCACTCACCACGGGAACTTTCAGTATTTTTTTGAGAAATACATAAGCATGCTTTAAAATAAATAAAAATTCAAAGGTTTCAATTATTAATAGTACCGCAAAAGTTAACAAATGCGATTAAATTAATAGATTTTGTGCAATATTTATTTTTAATATTAATGTCAATTTGACATCATAACTGTTATATTCTGTTCTTTAGTATTTCTAAAAATTGATCAGAACCTTCAAACATGATTGAAAATAATCAGAGCGGCATGCTGAACCTAGTAATTACACATGTGACTATTATTATTTTTTTTATTAACATTATTTACCATTATTTTATATTACCTTTAACCTTAAGCATTGTTTATATTTAAATAATGTTTTTATTTTAACATTATTTTTTTGAAAGCATATCATTCATGTGCTAACTAGGAAAAGGTTATGAGATGAACTACTAATGTTTGGTATTGCTTTAAAAAAGTGAGTGAGTATTCTCACTGATTCAGTCTGATCCAGAAAATAATTTGAATGATTCCTAAAAAACAAATCAAGTGATTTGTTTGTGAATTAAACTGTTGCGCTGTGTGTTTGGTTTGTGTTCTGCTACAAAAGACAATGCAATAGAAAGCTGTGTTGACTATTAGTTGTCAGTAAATTATCACACATAACCTGTTTTTTCATTTCATCACTTAACACAATTCACAGCTCAGATTAAATATATTTATTTTTTGCAGTGGCACTACAGGTTCATCAGTGTTTCTGAGATGCTCCTGAATAGCGCTCCAGTATGATGCCAATTATCAGACCTCTCTCTCTCTTTCCATACTGTGGGGTCAGGTATTGACCTTGATGAGAGCAGTATGTGAAGGCCGGGTAGACAGAGCCGTGTCTGTCCTGGCAGCCTGCCTTGATTGGGTGCAGTGCACAGAGAGACAGCAGGTCTGTCTCAGTGGGGGCTGTGCCAGGTGCATGGCACAATGCCCAGGGCACTTACACACTGATCCTACATCAGTCTCCCTTAACCCACTTTATGGTGAAAGACGCCAACTTGTAGACCTATGTAAAATGGTATAAAGTCTAGACAGTCCATTTATAATGCTTTGGAAATCCAGTAAAACGTCATATAACAAATAATCAAAGTATGTGCTGTATTCTAGCACTGCTAACAATTTTATTGTCACAGCGTGGGTCAGACAAAGATGAGGAGAGGTGGATCTCAGTGCAGTGGAATGTTTATTTACAAAAATAAGCTAAACACATGCATTAGACAATAGCTGACAATGTGAGCAATCTGAAGAAGAATTAAATACACAATACAATGAGGAGTACAACAAGGTACAGGTGGGAATGTAATCAATAATCATGACAACCAGCTAGACACAGTGGTAACATAGAAAACAGGAACTAAACGCAGGCGGTAAGGACAAAAACAACAGAACAAACCCATGTCAAAATAAGAGTCCTTTACATATTGTATAAACTGTGATAGCTATAAAGGTGTATTTACACTGACTGATTCACTGGGGTCATCATGTTAAAGGGATGGACGGTTCACCCAAAAATTCTGTCATTAATTACCCTCATGTCGCTCCAGACCTGTAAGACCTTCGTTCATCTTCTGAACACAAATTAAGATATTTTTGATGAAATCCGAGACCTTTCTGACCCTGCATAGACAGCAATGCAAGTGACACGTTCAAGGCCCAGAAAGATAGTAAGGACATTTTGTAAGAAAAATATCCATATTCAAAATGTAATAATCACTTTAATGTAGCTTGCGCTCACTTTTGTACATGGAAGCAGTTCCGGGCGGATGACGTATGAGGTCGGCTTTGCGCATGCACCGCTCACAAGTGACGCACGCGGAAGCGCAGAGGAGAGATCAAAACTAAACAATGGTCACTAATTAGAAGTACAAAACGTGGATTTGTAAAGAAGAATGTCGGAGGATTTTGATATAAGCCAAGAGGAGACTGGTTTTCCTTTGCTAAAGTAAGGAAACTTTGCTTCCTTTGCTCCTGTTAAC